CTCTTCCCCCGCAGACGGCTCTGCCTCCCAGGTTCAGCACCTTCCCAACTCTCAGGTACTGTGGCCTGACGAAGCTGTCTGCCTCCGCAAGAAGAAGAGACACCCTCGTCAGGACCCCTTCGCCCGCCTCTCGGCGCTGAAGGACGACCTCTGCCACCGGCAGCTCCCTGAAGACCAGACAGCCATCCTCAACAGCGTGGACCATGACGACACCAGCGGCCACGCCACCTTGCTTTAGCCTAGCGCCGGCCCCACGTGCTTAAACAGGACGGGGTGGAGGGAGCCAACATCGCGCCGCCGGGGGATGGAGGTGATGGGGGACATGGTGGGGGACGCCCCTACGCTGGTGGCTTGTGGTGCGGATGAGCTGGGGGCATCTTGGGGCAGGTTAGGGGGTGGAGAGGATGCCTGGGATCTGCTTCTCCCCCACTGCTCCGGGTGGCTTTGGTGGTGGGGTGGGAAGGGGGAGGCATTGCACCTCGGTTTCGGGAAAGATCTTTAGGCTTAAAAGGCATCAATGGAGCTTTTGATGCCGCTTCCATAGTGTGAGGTTAGGGAGGAAGTGTGGGGTTGAGCAGCTCGATCGCTGGAAGAAATTAAATGGCACAGGGTGTAATTAGTTGACAAGAAGCCAAGAACCCAGCCTGGAACTGGTGATCCCATGAATCCGATTATGATAAAACCATGACCAAATAATCCCAGGAAAGCTGGAATTGTGAAAATCGCCCTGCCTTCCCCTTCCCAGCCTCCTTTTGTGTGAAGATAACAGCAACAAAACCATCCGTGACATCTTTCCTTACCTGTCTCTGAAAGGGAAAACCAGAAAGACCCTGAGCCTTTGAACTGGTCTGAGATAGAATCGCAGACTGGTTTGGGTTGGAAAGAAAGGTCATCCAGTTCCAACCCCCTGCCATGGGCAGGGACACGTTCCACTACAGCAGGTTGCTCCAAGCCTTGTCCAGCCTGGCCTTGGACACTTCCAGGAATGGGGCAGCCACAGCTTCCTTTGGCAGCCTGTTCCTGATGTGAGGAATCATTTCTCTCTGTGTTTGAGCGTTTGTTAAAGCATGTGAGCATGCAGGTATGGGACTGCTGTCAACCAAGGGTCTTTGTGCCCCAGGTCTGGTGTCCCTCAGCTTTGATGAGGGTGGTTTTGATTTATTCCTCCTGACACTTTGTGTTATCAGTGGTGCACTCAGTGCTATGTGGTAATGTGATTTCTTCCTGCGGTAACGTCTGTAATCCTGACTCACAACTGCCAAACAGGGGGGACGCAGGCGTGCAGACCAAGGGGGTTTGGCCACGGGGTCCCAAAAGCCTCCATCAGCAGATGCTGAACCCAGTGCAAGCAGCTGGAAAAGCCCCAGCTCTGCAGATGGAGATGGATGATGGCTTCTTGGAGCATCTGTGCAAAGCGAAGCCTGGCCTTTCACATTGGCTTCAAACACATTGCTGCTGGTTTCACTCTTTTTCCCCACTTCTTTCTCCTGCTCCAGCCTGGCCGTGGAGGCTGTGAGCCCCACCGGGGTTGTGTCCCTCCCTTTGCTCCATCCGAGGAGACCTGCTGTTCCCCTCTTGGTAATGCTGTTGTATCTCTTCACCAGAATGCATTTCACCACACGTAGGGTAGGTTTGGCGGCTGGTGGTTTTCTGGATTGCACAGGCCTTTTGTTTTCCCTTTAGCAGGAAAGGTGTAGCCTGTCTCCGAGAGCAACCGGGCTCCCTTTCCTGCTCTGCCTCCACTCTCTGACTGCGTGGCCTTGGGCAAGTCACTCAACCTTTCTGTGCCTCAGTTCTCCCATCTGTAAAATGGGGATAAGTCATATTTGAGCACTTTGAACAAGCACTTCGGTCACCTACAGACCGCAAGTGCTGCCTAGATGCTGAGTGCTGGTACCAAGTGATCCCTCCCTTTAAGAGATTTAGAGGTTTTGGGGGTTTTGAAGTGGTAAAATCAACCACTGCATCCAGATTTGCACACTTCTTCCTCTGAGTGCTAAATCCTCCAGCCTGCCTGGGAATAAACCACCGCGTGTTTCATGTGGATATTCTTGCTTCCAGCGGATTCGGGCTGTCTAGAAGAAGCATCAGGAGAATCCAAGAGCCTTTAGGCATGGTTTTTGCCCCAGGCTCTCCATTTGCATCTGAAACTTTTGTTTATTCCCAGGTAGAATTGCCAAGAGATTCTCCACAATCTCGCCTTTAATTCTGCTTTGCCTTGGTTATTGCTCTTGCTGCTGGTTGAACCTCCAAGGGCTTAGATGTTTGGACAAAGACGTGAGCTCTCAGCTGGGCTGCAGCACTCCAACCACGCCACGCTCCCTGGGAGCTTTTAGGTTGGAGTGTATTGATCCTCCAGCCTAGAAATACCTGGGTTTGGAGGTTGTGCTTCCTCTTCCAGCAGGACACTGGGCTCCCTGCAACCCCAAAAGGCAGAGCGCTGTGTCTTTTCCAGTCTCAAAGCCCTCACTTAGGTTTGAACCACTTGACAATGAATCCTCTAACTCGATAACGTGATATCTCGGAGCTTTAACATCGTGTAGGTGGTCTTCAAACCGTGAGCAGGTTTGTCTTGGGAAGGAGGGAGGGTGTTGTAGGAATGCCCCTCTCCTTCCAGCCTCTACCAGGGCTTTCTATTGAGTACGTGATGTTAAGAACCTCAACTATCAGAGTGAGAATTCAACCTCGCTAACGGTATGACTGCCAATTTCTTTGCTTTGAGTGTGTTTTTAGGGGGTTTTCCCTAGAACCCGCTCGGATCTGAATTGATTTAATGCCATTCCCCCGCTCGCCAGCGGGAACACTCTGCCTGGGTAACTTCAGCTCGCCGGCAACGTCAGTGGGCTGCTCCTGATGGACAGGTGACAATGGGGGCCGGGGGGGGAGGCTTCGTGCTGACTTGCTCTTCCTTTTGCTCTTGTTGCCTCAACCTCTCTAACAGAAGGCTGGGGTTTTTTTTATCCTTTGAGTGCTTTCCAAGGTGTTTATGACGCCCGTTCCTATGGGCAAGGTGATGTCTTCGGGCTCTTGAGGTCGCTACCTCGGGACTGTGCCCCTTTCCCGTCTTAAGGAGCTCTAGAGGCTTTGGAAGGTTGATGGAGCGCGCCGGCTTGCTGGGTCAGTCTTTTTGAGAGTTGTTTTCCTTTTGCAGGTGTTTTGAGCCACTGGGCCCCCTGCTTTTCATGGTCTTCGACCTTTAGAGGCTGGAGCTGCAGCCCTCTCTCTTTCAGCCATGCTGCTGGAGTGGGAAATCCCGCCCGGGCGCCTCATGGAAGCGGCTCTTCCCTAAAAACCATCCTTAACTCCTTTCCCTGCTAGACCGAGCTACCTTCCGATAGACTCGGGCTGTGCTTTGGCAGACGGGCTCACCTCTTGCTTTGGCAACCTCCTGGCTTCTCCCAGCCCTCTGGTTTCCCCTCTCTCCTCCCGCGGACCTGGGACATCGAAGCTGTGTCAGACGATGCCAAACGCTTCCCCCATTTCATCCCTGTTTGAACTCCGTTTCGCTTTGGTGGTTTGCAAACACAGCTGCTGCTGCTGCTGCTTCATCTCCTTCCTTTCATTTTTCTCCTTCATGCTGCAAAATATATCATGTTTTTTATCTCCCTGGGCCCAACTCTCTTATTTGCTAAGCTTGTCTGAGGTAGATGGCTCTTCCTTTAGCAGTAAGCACACGATTCCTCCTTGCACGTTCTGTACTTGATGCATTTCATTAGGTCCTTTGGCAAATCCTGGGCCAAAAGTGAAGAGATGCCTCTGAATCACAGGAATATTTGGCCCTGGGCTCCACCAAAGCGTCACTGCAGTGGGCACCAACCTGGCTTTAGGGGGTTCCTGCTGTGAGGTGGCCATGGTGGGGATGCTCTGGTGCTGTTCTCCATCACCATCGGGGTGCAGGATTCGGCTGCTGGGTCACACCGAGAGGTAGGTACGGGAATGTTGCTGAGATCCCTTGGGAAGATGGGGTTGTTATGGGATGCTGTTCCTCACACCCTCTCCATCAACCTCGTGCTGTCCCATTGCTTTTCCAGCAGGAGCTGCTGAGCAATCAGCCATGGATTTTTAAGTTGACTTTGCCATGCAAACCCACCGGTGGTCTCGGTTTTGCAGCATTGTTGTGAAGGGAAATGCACGTTGGTGTAAATGGGAGAGAGGGGATGTTTATGGCCCACTTATGGGGCCTGTTTCTGTGCCTGCCATTAACTGCCTCCACAGGAGCGATGGGGTTGTAGGGTGGAAGGTCTCAGGGTCTCTTCCCAGCCCTGCCATGGGCCTGGGATGGAGACCGTGGCAGGAGGCATGGTTTGTGGTCTCATTGGGTACATGTGTAGGTGCTCCCTGAGCAGAGTGGTCCCCATGAGCTCAGGTGATGGTTTTCCCAGGGTAGGTTACTCACTGCTGCTGCTGTGTGTTGGTGTGATTTGGAGGTCGGGTTTGGTCGCTGATGGGCTCCCCGTTGCTGATCTGGTGGTGTCCCCTCAGTGCCACCCTTAGGAGGTTCAGCCCTTCCTTTGGAGGTGATGGTGTTTGGGTGTATGGATGTATAGGGAATATAAAGGGAATATCAACTTTGCTGGACCTGCTTCCAGGGGTGGAGGTGTGCTCTCACAGCAGGCGTAGTCCTGCAGGGCTTAGTGATGGTTAGATATATGCTTGTCCCTTGCAGCCTGTCTTTGGCAGTGATGCAGATATGGGAGTTCCCTGAAGTTCTGGGTTGGTTTCAGCTGTGGTTCTTGGTTCGGGGTGTTCTTCAGCGAGGCTGGACCAGCTGCTGGCTGCCTTCAGGCATTGCCACTTGTCCCATGTGGCAGAGTCGATGCTGTTTGTGGCAGGAAATCTTTCCAAGGAACTGGAGTCAAACACACTGTATATATGAGCTATAAATACATAGAGAAGCGTAGGACAAAGGTAGATGTATGCAGAAGTCCAGTAGATTTGCATGTTGGGGGTATGTTTGTCATTAGGGGGAGAGTATTTAGAGCTGTGCTGAATGGGGGGTGGAATTGGGATGGGCAAAGCTTGGTGGAAGGGTTGGGAGCAACAGGATTTGGGAACGGACCAGGCACTGCAGCCCTGCTGCACACAACCAAATCCTGCTTTTGATACTCATTACCCCCCTCCCTGTTTGGTTTTGGTGCTTTATTCATTGTATGGGACTCACCCTGGGCCGTCACATGGAGAATCAGGAGTGCCAGGTCCTCCCCTCTGCGTGTGCATGGCGTGTGAAAGGGCCATCATGTTGGTGCAGTGGCTTAAAGCAGAGGCAGCACCACGCAGGAACCCTTCCCTTACGTCGCTCTAGACGCCGCTCTGGTGCGGAAGCATCTGTTCTTCCCAGGAAAAGCATGAGTCAGAAGGGATGAGAAGGGATACGGCTAAATTTGTCCCTCGGGATGAGGAACGCAGTGCCAGGTGGGCCCAGCAGTGGCTCCTCGCTGGCACAAGATGTTCTTATCGATGGCTTTTCTTTCCTTTTTGCTTTTTTAAACCTCATTAGCAGGACTGTTAATATCTGTTCTGTAATGAGAGCAGAGCCTGTACTGGCACCATGGGACTGGCTGAATTCAGGCTGGCTGCTCTGCGGGAGCCCATCCCCATGCTGTCTGGGCTGTTAAAAGACAATGAGATGCTTGCTCCCATTACCCCTCTTCACCTTGGTTGTCTTTTTGGCTGAGTATCTTTACTCCTCCCTGCGTGTGTTGGCTGGGAAGTGCAGTTTGCTCCTCTTGGAGGTGAGGGCTGGAATCTACAGGAACAGGGATGTCACCTCCAATCTGGCAGCAAAAGAGGAAACTTGATGTCAAACTCCATTCCCATCAGTGATGTGGAGCTGCTGCTTCCTGGGAAAGGGCTGGAGGTGGGAGCCTGTTCGCCTTCCCAAGCAACTGGGATGAGTGGGGGCCTCCCAGTGCCGTGTTTCCCTGTTTTTCCCTATTTATATGTGCTTTGACTGGGCAGGTTTCTGCTAAGCTGGCAGTTCCTCATCACTTGTGTTGGCAGTGGGCATCTTGCTGGGTGACCTCGGGCCCTGTGCCAACGAGCATCCCCAATCCCAGGGCTGCATCCCCAATCCCAAGGCTCTGGCTGCCTTTTGATGCGTGCATGGATGGATAAAGGACCATACTGGGGAGAGGGTGGGCAGGAGAAACAGGGGCCAGGCAGGCTGGTCCAGGCTGTAGAGGGGGTTGGACATGGAAAGCAGGTGCTGTAGTGGTAGTTAAGGATTTATCCTGGTTGGAATGGGGTGGGACACATGCTATGGAGGAGACTTTGCCCAGATTTTTGCTTTGCCATCAAAAATACCAATTTCTCTCCTAGAGGAGGCTTTTATTCTTGTTCTCCTGAGGTTCCAGGGGACCAAGAGGGCTGCAAAGGGGGTGCCCATCATGCCAGGATAAGGCATTCCTGTGGTCTGGAAGCTCCTCTGATTTCCACCCCTTCCCCTCGGCACTTCTATTATAAAACAAAAGAACTAATTTCCAGCTGAGCCCCAGTATCTCTTATCTAAAGAAACGATATTGGTGTTTGGAACCTGCGTTGTATATACAAACCTGAAACAAATAGATAGTTACTTTCTATTTTAGAAGGGGGGGGAAGAGGAAATATTTAAGTGAATTCCTTAGATGTAGGTGTCAGAAACCTCTGTGCAGCGGGAGAGAGGCTGGCAGAGGTGGGGAGAGTGGGAACAGCGGGAGCAGGGCGAGTAGTTTGCCATCCTCTTGCGCTTTGGCTTCTCTGCTTCTCCATCCACCTATAAATAGACAAAAAGATATATATACAAATCTATCTATATATATATATATAAATTCTATATATCTAAGTCACATAGCTGTTTTATTTTTGTATCCATGCCTAGTGCTGTTTGAGCAATATGGTGGCCAAGGAGAGGAGGGTTGGGTAAGGCTGGGGGGCTCAGAGGGCTCCATTGGCTCTGGCTGCTCTCCCAGCATCGCTGCTGTTTGCTGTTTTGATAGGGAAAAACATGGAAAAGGGAGGGAAAAGGGAAAAATCCCCGGGATTGGGGGGAGCCTGGGCACCCCGTTTGCCGCCAGCTTGCTGGTAAGGAAGTGGTTTTCCCACTGAGGGCTGTGTCTTGCTTGGATTTTATTGCTTCTCCAGATGAATTTCAGCTCCAGGGGTGCTGTTTTCAACGGGAAGGATGAGGCCTGTGGGGTGGCACAGGACGGGGGACACGCTGTGGGGACAGGCTCCCCACGCCACTACCTCGCTGGGTGCCAGCGGGCACCCATCCTCGCCGCCTTGGTGTTAATCCTGATGGATCCCATGGCTTATGGAGCTGCCTGGGTGGCCGTGGTGAGGTCCCCTTAGGTCCCCGTGCCTGGCTGGAGCAGGGCACCTTCTCTGTAGGCACGTCAATACCTCTATAACAAACACAAGATCTCCAAGCATCAGGGTTTTACTGGTGCCGTGCAGGCTGCTGGTACCCGGGGAGGGATGCGAAGCTTCATTCCCAGTGTGTGGAATGGCATGGAGCCCTGGCTTGGTGGGCAGCAGGCACCATGGAGAAGGTGCTGGGGTGCTCAGGGCCTTTCCTGCAAAGCAGTATGGACCCGCTATCCCCTTTCCCTGTGTGGTGAGGGGAAGAAGAGCCAGTTTTGGGACCGAGCAATGCCAAGGAGTGGCAAACCATCCCCTCTGCCTCCTTTAGGGCAGGATTTGGGGATTGCCTTTGGGCAGCGGTGCTTCTGCTCCCCTCCAGCTTGGTCCCATGGTCCTTACCACTATGGGGTGGGGGGGACCCAGATGTTTTTGGGGCTCAGATGTCTCTGCATGGAGATGGGATGGCGGGGCAGACCCTGGGTACTTCATGCCTCTGGGACCAGGCAGAGGACCCTCACTGTTGTCATGGGCTGAGACACGAATGTAATGCCCAGGAGCTGGTCCCCTCATGTCCTCCGTAGGTGTCACCTGTATTTTCCATGATATTTCTGTCTTCTTTGTCGGGATCGGGATGGGGAGGGTGGGGGGGAGGGGGGTGGGGGGGGGGTTGGTGGTATATTTCTAATATCAAGCCAAGAGTTGTTCAGCACCAATTCTTGATATCGAAGCAAAAGCATGTTTGGTGGGACTAACTTGCATTTATTAGAGGTAAATACATAAGTAAGTATTTTCTATGTTAAAACAAGGCAAAGGATGGGAGGAGGAAGAGGAGGAATGAGACTTCTCACTGGTTCGAGGGGCTGCGTTGCCTCCAAGCAGTGGGGCTTTGGGGTAGTGCTGGGGTGGGTTGGGGTGGGTTGGGGGGGGGGGGGGGGGGGGGGGCAGCTTTCTCCTTTCCCTATTTCCCCTGGAATCACTTACAGAAAAAAAACAGGAAAAAGAAGAAGGAAACACAAAACTCAGATGTTTACAAAGCACATTTGCCACCGTTAACCCTCTGGATGCCAAACAGACACGTCAAGAGCTGCTCCTCCCCATGTGCCATGGGATGGAGGGGTGGCTGCACCAACGCCATCATCCTGCTTCCCTTGGGATCATTGACTCTGGTCGTATCTTTTCCTTTGGTACACTCAGCCCTGCTTCCTCCATCCACCTGCTGGCAGGAGCTTGCTTTTTGGGGGGGTGTTTGCTTCCTCTGCCCCCTTTCCAGCCTCTTCCTGCTCGGCTTTGGGAGCGGTGGGAAAGCACCTGTCTCCACTCGGGGAGGTTTTGGCTTGGTGGGAGGCGCTGGACCTGCTTCCTGCCTTCCCAGATGCACTTTAAGGCCAAACTCCTCCTTTTTCTTATCTATGGGGCTGGTAGAGAGCAGGCAGAGGATGCTCCTGTGGTCCTGGAGGGCTGCAGGACCTTCCCTAGGCTGTGTGGGCTCCGGTTCCTTTGCCTTTCCTGCTTGGAAAAGCCCCATAGAAATAGAAATCCTTCTGGACACATCTAAGTTGCCGTAAGTTACTCGAACCATCCTTTTGGGCTTTCAGAGATTGCACATGTGCAATCCCTGGATCCTGGGGGAGCATCTCCAGCTCTCCTGGGTGAGCATCCCTGCATCTCCAGGGAAGCATCTTCACCTCTCCCATGGGAGCATCCTTGGCTCCCCTGGGAAGCATCTCCAGCTCTCCAAGGAGAGCATCCTTGGGTCTCCTGGGGGGCATCCTTGGAGCTCCAGGGGAGCATCCCTGGATCCCATGGGGAGCATCTCCACTTCTCCCAGGGGTGCATCCCTGTCTCCCCTGGGGAGCTCAGACTTTTTACTCCCCTTTGCTAGGTTTGTAGAGTCTCTGAACCCTCATAGATCTCCCTTAGGTAGCTCTTGATTTCATTCCCTCCTAACTCCATAGTGTTTTCCCTAAGGCTGGATTTTCTTCTGGACCCACCAGGTCTCTGGTTGCTTGCAACATCTTTTCCCACTTCTTTAGGAAGAACTTCTTGCCTGTGGATAGAAAGACTAAGACCATCCAACCTCATTTCCATTTCTTGAATGTCCAGTATTCCGATCTATAACACACATTAGGGTGCTCTTTGGTGCTGTTTCAATGGGAACCAGTGGAACTGCCTTTTTTTTCCCCCCATAACAATAAAGGAATCTTTAGGACCGCTGGTTCCATCCTGTTTCTCGTCGTGACTTTTCTTTCCTCTTTCTTAGTTCTTTTTTTTTTTTGGGGGGGGGGGGGGTGTGTGTTTGGGTTTTTACTAAACAATGAGTAGCTCTCAGCTGCTGGAGCTTTGTGGTGTTGATTCTACTGCCTTGTGCACTGCGACCTGCTGCCTGCATGGGCAGGATGGATGCTGCGAGCCGGGTGGGCTGTATCACCCCTTGGGATACAAGAGGATCCCAAGGAGACTCCGAGGAGGAGTTGGGGTCGAATCGTTTCGGTTTGCAGTTGCACACAGCAAAAAGAGCATTGGAGGGGAGCCCGGATGGCAACTAGGGGGTTAATTGTTGAACTTTCAGGTATGTTCCTCAAGAGAAAAATAATAATAATAATAATTAATAATAATAAAAAGAATAATAATAAAATAGAGAAACAAACCACTATTTTTTCAGTCAGCTTTTTTTTTTCTGTAAAGGATTTACAAAGAAATCTGACATGATGGTGCTGTACCAAAGCCTTATATGAAACTTATTCCGTGCTCTATATAATCTCTCTGTATCTGTAATTGTTGCTCTCGGCCTCTGTGCTCACGAAGGCCACTAAAATGCTATCAGGAGGGACCGACGGTGGCGGCGTGCTCGGCATTCCCGGGAATACCCAGCTTCCTACCCGGAGCTGGGCTGGGACCGCAGGGAGGGGAAGCCAAATTGCAGCATCACTCCCCAGGTACGTGATGAGGGGCACAAGTGGGGGTCCCTCACCCCAAACTCTCTTTCCCACTGGGTGCTAAGCCTGCCCTGGGCAGGTAACTGAGACCTCGCTGGGAGCACTGATGGCTCCTCCTGGGCAACCTCCGAGCTCACCTCCAAGGGGATAACAACCCATCGAGACCCTTTGCCATGGGGGTTTTACATCTTCCAGCTCAGCCCAACCTAAGCAGGGCTTGGCCAAGGCAGATCTCTCCTTGCTCTCGCCCTGCGAGCCCTATCCCTGCCCTTCCCCATCTTCCCTTGGGGGTGGACGGGGAGCTGGGGCTGCTTTGATAGCTCTAAGCAATAATCCCACTCTGCCAAGAAAGTTGGGTCCCTTTGGCTCTTGGACTGTTGTCAGTTAATGAGTAAAGGCTCAAAGCCAACACCAATTGGACAACGTGAGTTTGAAGCCCTGCCTTACTGGGAATACTGGTCCCTCGGTCTCTGCCTGTTGGGATTTTAAGGCCTTCTGAGCACTTGATTTTCTCGCCAGTCCCATTGCATGTTCCTAGACTGACTTTTTATGTTGGTTTTCTTTCAATGTCCCCACGATGAGAGAAGTTCTGGCAGTGTTGCAATGTTACGTACAAGTAGCCATGCTGTAGGAGAATGATGGGTTTTGGAATCGATTAACTTGCTCCTCATGTAACATTACCCTGCTTCAGAAATGTTTTGTATTTTGATATAAATAAACATTTGCTAAAAAAAGAAAAGAGGCTTTTTTTTTGCTGTCATTGGTTTGGATTTGCCTGTGGAGATGGTTGTGGAGAGGATGCTGCTTCTTTGGGATGCGGGAAGGATCACCCCCGTCCCCTGTGCATCCCATTCCCTGTGCACCTCCACATCCCCATCCTGTGCACATCCCTTTGCTCCTAGGCCCATCTTGACGCCAGATCATGACCTGGCTCTGGGTTGTGCAGGTTTGGGTGTGCAGCAATGAGGGTAGCAGCCCGTCAGGCCAAAATCCACCTCATTCCAAGCTGTGGAGCTCTTGAGGCCACCCCATGCCTGGGAAGCAGGACACAAGGCTGTGTGCAGCCTGCTGTCAAGGTGATCCCCCTTGCTTTGTCATCAGCTTTACCATCCAGCATTCCCCTTCTGCTTTGTCTTTGCTTTACATTCATCAATATTACCAGCTGATCCTCCAGTCCCCCTCAGTGGGTTTATTAATATTGCCCTCTGATCTGCAGGAAGCAGCCATGCTTTATATTCCATCCCCATCCCCAGCTCCTTCAAGCCCCAACACCACATTTAATTACATTTTCCTCCTTGGCTCAAGCAAACACAAACTGAGCTCCTGCAATCCCTCCCCTGCACTGGAGCTGGTGCCTGGTAGAGGTGGACAGCATCCTCCATCGCTTTAATAGATGGGGCTGGTGCCCATCTTTGGGGCTTGCTTGTGGGAGATTGATGTTTGTCATTCCCTGTGGGTGGCATTGAACTTGGCAGGGAAAAAGGTTTGCCCATGGGGTTCAATGTGGAGGGCTGCTGATTAGCAAGCAACACAGGAGCCTTGGACCATAAATCAGAAGCTTTGCTCAGGGCAGATGCTGCTCCTGCCACGTCCCACCCTCTGTGTGGTGGATCCAGGATGGAGTTAACTCGAGGGATGGATGCTCGCATGGATGCTCATGTGCAGAACAGAAACGCCTCCTGGGGCTGGATCTGCCCTTCTTGGCCCAACTATGATTCCATGGGGCAAGAAGAGGCAAAGACCTTTTCTAACCCCCCCCAGGGTGGCAGCTTGGAGCCCTTCTCACCATACTGCTGGGTGCAGGATCTGGTCTCTGGGGCTTTAGTGCTTTTCCTCTACCAGCCACTGCCTGAGGACTGTGTTTGCCAGAGTCAATAGAATAGAAATTAAGCTATTTATGTGGGGACAGCAGCAACTCCTATGGTGTTATCCTAGGAAACACGGATGTTGGGATGAAGGAGCACAAGGAACGGCTGTTGGCAGCCCCTGGGATGAGGAGAAGCTCAGCTGGGGCTGAGCGAGGACGGTACCAACAGCAGCATCCTCAATGGAGCTGCTGCCAACCAGCTCCTTGGCTTCCACACACTGCCTGAAACAAGCCTTTGATGGTTCTGTAGTGCCTAATATTTTTCCAGCTGAGAAGCTGGTGGTTTTTATTCACGTCCATCCATAACAACGGATGAGATTTATTCCTGGGTGAGCAGAGCTGCACCATGGCTCCATGCAGAGGACCCAAACCCCCTTTTCTCCCCACTAAACTCTCCCCTCCGGGCAGTCCAGTCTTGCTGTTTGCAAAGCAAAGCAAGCTGCACATTAACTTTACATTGACTTTCTCTTAGCAGAGCCCCGGGAGGTTGCTCCAAGGTGTGCAATCTGTTCTTTGGGGGCTTTATAAGCTTTTAGTAGCTTAAAACACAACTAAGTTGGCCCTAATCTCTCATAAAAGCAGGTCTTAGCCCAGTGCTTTCCTTTGCTGTTGTGTTTGTCTGATTGATGGGAAGAAAATGGGCCTCAAATCTCCCTTTGTAAAATCCCAGCTCAAACCCATCCATGGTGTTTGCAGGGAGAAAAAACACTGGGAACATCTATTTCTCCAGGCTTTGCTCCTTTGTTTTGTAAGAGCTTATCCAAGCCTGGCTGGGGTTTCCTCCCAGAGACATCCATGGAAATGGCTTGTGTGGGGTGAAGATGAAGGTGTGGAAGTGGGTGATGGAGGAGCAGGAGAGGTCTGTGCTCGTCCATGGGTCTGCCAGGATTATAATCCCCAAGGAGCGATTCTGATGGGCACTTGTGGTCTCCAGACCTCAGCTTTCACTCTCTGGTGGGTCCGTGAATGCTTTGCACTCCGAAAGGTGGATTTCTGCATCCTGAGTGGGAATAAGCATCCTTCTGGATGTCAGGGGGAACATTGCCTCCTGCAACACCCCCAAAACAATCCATAGGAGATGCCGTTGAGGCCAATGCGGCAGGACCAGCACCATTTTCATGTTACTGGTGAGTTTATGTAGAGGACTGGCTGCAACATGCGAGCACTGAAAAGTGTATTTGTCTTTGTGTCTTATCGATTTATTTCCTGTCTCCTGCATTGCAAGCTCCAGCAGCTGCAGCAAGGAAGGGAAAAGAGCCCAAGAGGCTGCTGGAGTCGGATCATGTCCCCATCAGGGCCAAGGGTCCCTCTGGGTTTGTCCCCTTGCAGGATGAAACCATCAAGCTGAGTGCTGAGAGCATCTTTGGAGTACTCTGAGGATTGGTTTGGTGGAGCAGGAGCCTAGGAATGATTCAAAGAGAGGGGTTTGTTGTGGCTGGTGATAGCAAAGATGCTCATGAAGGGTGATGTGGATGGAGGGGGTGTAAGCAGGGTGTGTACGAGCAGTGCAGCCATGGGATGCAGGAGAATCATTGCAGCCTGGTTGGGAAGCTGTAGCTGTCCCTGTTTCCAGTCTCATTGCACAATACTTGGACCAAAGGGAGATGCTGGGCATGGCTGTGCTGATGCAAGGGGACCAAACCCTGCTCCCACTCAACAGGAGGGATCCCATTCCCCATTTTCCCAGTAGTTTGCTCTGAGAACCATGGGTGGCATCATCATGGCTGGGAGGACATGAGCGTGTGTGTCCTCATCCGGGTAGAAGCACAACCATCTCTCCCTTGTCTCTGTGTCCATCCCTCTGCCCTTTCCACTCATTAACTCCACCATCTGCTCCTTCATTCATCTGCTATCCCCATCAATAAATCACCCCTGCCTTCCCCCTCCATCCATGCATGGAAGTACCTTTGGGTTTCCCCCTCATCCCAGACCCCCAGGACCATGTTTTGAGCTTGGAATTCAGGAGGAAAGCTCCCACGTCCCTGGGAGCTTTATTTTACCTCTTGTGATGGCTCTGGAACGCTCAGGGACATGGGAACGCGTTGGGAGCTGCTCCATCTGCAGGTGGATGGGTCGTGGGTACCACTCACATCCACACTCCACCTGCTTCCTCCTGCATCCATGGAACTGTCCCTGTTCCTCCCGGCTCTGCCCTTTTCCCCAAGGCAGGAAAGGTTAAGCCGAGATCACCCAGCCCAGATTCCTGCTCCCTGGGGCTAATTACGGAACAATATTAGATAAGAGTCAACATATGTTGTAAAAGGCACTATGCATCACTGCCTGACAGCTCCTAACAATGTGCTCATGTAACAGCTGTCAGCCTGCAACGCTTCGAAATGAGTAATATGGTGATTTATGGATATCAGACCTGCCCTTAACACTCACCAGCAACAACACACGAAGCCCTAAAGCTGTGGC